GAAAAAAAGGTAAGTACTTAAGCAACCTTTCTTCTCGGTTCAAGCCCGGTTACCTGGCGCCAATGAGTTATCATACATAATTTCTTTTTCAAATAATTTCCTAAATAATTACACACCCTCTCTTCTCAATGCCCTCTTTATCTGGCACTTGGGCCCCATGCCCCACCTGCTGCACTCTGTTGATAATATTTAACAATAATTTTATCAAAATAATAATAGAATCTTTGGCATCTAAATCTAAGAAAAACCATATTGAACATGAACTATAAGCAAATGATTTATAAAAAGACATCAGGAATCACATGATGCTTGTCAATGGGATTAAATCCTACTTTGTATTTTAGCTATTCATGGTTTTTTAATATTTTATGTCAATATTATGTAAACAAGAAACTTCAAGTCATTGAATTATAAGCATTTTAATACATTTTTAGAAATAAATTAATATTGTTTAAATGGTAAATGATTGTGTAATGTAGTAATTTAGTATTTTAGGGTATATTTTAATGGGTTTTCTTGATTGTTTGTTGTATTGGGGTCGACAAATATCATTCTCAAGACATCACCTGTCTTGTAAATAAATAATTAAATAACTTAATTTTAAATGAAAAAACGAAGCAAGATTTTAGATTCGAAAGATAAAGAGGAACTTGTGCTACAGTGTTTATCTTTCCTATTGTAAATACATAGCATTGACTTTTTCATTGAAATCAAGTAATGTCTCTCTTTATTTATTGTAGAAATACATGAAAATACAGCTGATAGTTAAATAAATAAATCGTAGTCACCGATTTCCTCTAGATAAATTATTCTACAAGCCAAATGTAAAATGTTTATTGTGAATTATTACTCGAATTAATGAACAAAATTTACGATAATTTTCTAGTTTTCATATACACTACTCCCTAACAATGTGCCATGTTCTTGGTCCGTGATAAGACTAATTAGTTGTATTATAGCCCAATAATACAGCAGATCGTTTTGTATTAATTAAAAAATTGGGTTTGTGGATTTATTGATTATATATGTATATTATTCTTTATATAAATTTACACTGCTGTTAAAGTGCTGAGAAGTATGTGAAGTGCATGACTTGCATTTTATTTACTTAATTGTTTAATTGAAAGTGAGATGTATCATCATATTTTATAGTAAAAGTATAAATATATAATTATATTCTTCAATAATGAGAGAACCATGAATATACACTTTTATAATACTAGCAGACCCCGCTACATGTTGTTGTGGCTCAAAATGTATCTATTATAAATGTATAACACTTCCCCCGTGGAGGGGAGGAATTTTTCAAAAAATTTCTTCTTAGTGTACATTCTGTTGACGTACCCTATTAAAATGCAATCAAAAACGCAAAAAACCACATCTGAAATAGTATAAATAGAAGCAGAGTTCTTTACTGTAAGCTTTAATCTTGTCCATCTCCCCCCAGTGCAGGAAATTTCGACACGTATATTATATAAAAACACGTGCGTATTCGAATGCAGCGTTGTGTCAAAATTTCAAAGGAATCGGTAGGAACAAACGAACATTACATCTTTATTTATATAGATATATAGAGGATGATCTGCTTTAGTTCATTTTCACAGAAAAGCATAATGCCTCACAGAAAAGCAAACTTAGGGCGTCGTAAGCCATCTGTTGACATAAAAGCCTTAACCTAGATTATATCTTTTAATTTATATGAATGTTTAGTGGAATAATATACAGCCTATGTCCACCCTGAGGTTCCATTCTAAATATTGGTGAAAGAATTTTTGAAATCGGATGAGTAGTTTCGGAGATTACCTGCTGCAAACAAACTTACATACATACATACTTACAAACATTACCTCTTTATAATATTAGTATAGATTGATTAATATGTGACTTTTAAAAATAAAAATTCAAAAATTGTAGATATTAAATCTTTTGTCTTGGAGTTGCCTAATGAAATTATTAAAAATGTCTATTTTCTTAATTTTTTTTTATATCAATAAAATGAAGGTCACATCTGTTTGCTAACAAATAACACTTGAATTACGAAAATTTAATAACTCAAGGAAAAAATTCCCTGTAGTAAGTATGATAAATGATCTTTCTTGCAATTTATATACCATTTATTATACTTATAGAGCCGAAGAATAGAACTATACAACTCAATCTAAAAAATGACATTGCCGAGCTGTTCTTTCTGGAAAATTTAGTTAAATATTTACTTTTAATTTAATATTTTTTTTACTGTAAATATTTGAGACATTAATGTTAATAGCCAACACTTGATTGACCTGCTTTAATTGGAATTAATATTTTTAAATTTTCGAAACATTAATTATCTCTTATAAGGAATTAAAAGCTATTAAATTTTATGGTTGATATAGGACATTGATATGTATTTTGCTTCTACTGGATTCCTATTATTCTAGGCAGCCTTGTAAAATGCTATAATCGAGACGACTACATCTTATAGTCGCCAACAATTTTTGATTTATTCAGATAAAGTAATATTAATAAAAATAATTTTGAGAAATTTGTATTTTTAATATCAATAATGACATAAATTAATGATTACTGGCAATATCACATGCTTCAAAAGATCCTTCTGTCATGGTTTATATATTAAAATGCATCCTTAAATTTATTATATACATTAAAAATTTTCAGCAAGTGTATGTACTAACTTCTGTAAATAATATATTTGAGTAGATGTAATATGGTAAATTTTTATTACTTACGCATGGAAAATCAATATACATAAAACTCAAATTACGTACAAACGTTATGTAAAGGGTTTGCGTAACTATACTATTTATCTTATCTGTTTCAAATTTGGGATGAATATTTTCCGACACCCTAGAAAAATACTGTGGGGATCCATACCCCAACCATCCCTAAAGTCCACCCCCTCTCAAAAAGTCCAAGCAATGCCAAGCATATGCAGCTAGTAGTTTGATAAAAACAATAATGATTCACAAACACTTTAACAGAGAAAACAGACATTTTCAACTGTCTTAAGTGTCATTTTGCTGTAGGATTTTTGGTTCTAGTGTGTTTATTATAACTTTATTTATATAAATTTTAAAATACTGATAAAATATACATTTTATGTTATATAAAGTGTATATGTGTTTATATATTTAATATAATATTATATTACTTAATAAAATAATACTCTGTTTCCATTTCCCTTCCTTATTTGTTACAATTTCTCATTTTATTTCCCGCTTATTAATAATCAAAATAGTTTATAAGAAATTTACAGGATTTACAACTTAAAATATATAATTTATTACTGATATTTTAATATGGGGTCTTCTAAAATGAAAGCTACCATTTTAAATTACCATAATTATGTTAATTAATATCTGAGAAGTATGTGATGTACACCAATCGACAGAATAGCCATCTAAGTTTCATCTCCCATCTGCATTCGAGCATATTGTTGTCTACTACTTTACTATCTCTAAGAAGGACTGTAAACGAAAATGGCAACTCCACAATAGAGAAGGCAATTTGTGTTCTGCTGTTCACAAAGCTGGAATCACTTGTCATTGTGCAAAATTAGTCTGCAGGAGCTGTAGAATTGTGGCAACAGATATGCAGTAGTGAGAATAGGAAGAATTTGAGTATTGGTCAGATGCATGCCATGCGATATGAGCAGCATGCATTGAGAAATCGTGAAACTTGGACAATTTACCAATTGTTATAATGTGCATCATGACATTCTCAGATAATACTTAACATAACTATANTCCCATCTGCATTCAAGCATCTTGTTGTCTACTACTTTACTATCTCTAAGAAGGACTGTAAACGAAAATGGCAACTCCACAATAGAGAAGACAATTTGTGTTCTGCTGTTCACAAAGCTAGAATCACTTGTCATTGTGCAAAATTAGGAGCTGTAGAAATGTGGAAACAGATATGCAGTAATGAGAATAGGAAGAATTTGAGTATTTGTCAGATGCACGCCGTGCAATATGAGGAGCATGCATTGAGAAATTGTGAAACTTGAACAATTTACCAATGTTATATTGTACATCATGATATTCTCAGATAATACTTAACATGACTATAATAATTTAAAATGGTAGTGTTCTTTTTGCAAAACTTGTATTTATATATTTGTCATTGATAATATGCATAAAAAATATTTTAAATATAATACAGGAAATCCTCGTTAATTGGAACTTGGATAGTTCGAAATCCAGTTAGTTCGTAACAGTACTTTTGTCCCAGTCAGAGATATAGAGATTTACACGCTAAGGAATTCAGTTAGTTCGAAATATGGCTACTTCACAATTCAAAGTGAAAATTCTGTTGAACTATGCATACGTTAATTTGTTCGTTTAGATCGAAGTGCTTTCATGCTATAAAAAAACAACAGACCAAAAATGTCTCTAATCTAATCAATATGGCTTTGCTTTTAAGTAACACATTTTTGGGTGTCACCTTACATACGGATTACCCCTTTTTTCTCTTATTTCATAAAATTCAGGTGATTTTTGGGATTGCAAGATTGGGCTATGAGTAGTAGATTGAGGCATTTGTAGGACTCTAAGCTACTACTTTTAGACAACTTACTACTCTTTGGGCCATTTTACAAATAATTTGGATTACATTTCGAGAAATTCTGCTTTACTTTTTATAAAACCTATCTGGCAACCTGTGAGATTCTCACCGGACACATGATATTTACCTGAAGTTTATTTATATTATTGTTATTATTATTATTAATTATTAATTAACAAAAATATCATTCTGTATAAGTAGCAGTATTCCATTTACTTAATAAATTACATCAGTTCTGTGGCATTTGTCATATCGCACACAGATATGTAAATCTCAGATAATTTGAAATTTGAAGTCACAAATATTTTCTCCCCTGAATTTCAAATTAATGAGGATTTCCTGTAATTTCTTTTCTTTATAAACATAACAAAAATGACCAAAAAACTAAAGAACAGATTGTAGTTTTTCTTTGTTATTTTTGAAACCATAAATCCATTGTTTATTACAATTTAATAGTTTATCAATGTTCATATAATAATACTAAATTAATAAATAAAATAAGTTTTTATTACATACATAATGTGAGCAGATGACGTTAATTCTTTGGTCCCAATATAGCGTTCTTCCCATTTTCCCGAATACAACGGGTGATTAAATGAACCATACTTTCCTCTTAATGAATCTGGCAACTGATTGTTGTTTGTTGTAGCTAGAGAAAATGCAGACGAATCTATTCCCTTAAAAAAAAAAAAAAAACAACAATAATAATAATAAAGAATTATATTTATGACACAAGTTAATTGCAGATATAAAATTTATTGGCTTTTTAGTTTTATTTTTAAGGCAATATAATCAGTGATTAAAATACCATAAAATATTTTATATCTATTTAAAAAGACAATATGAAAATTACCTTTTTGCTTCCTCCATTATGGTACGGAAGTGAAGTGGAAGTGACAGAAGAAGAAGAGTTGTTAGAAAAAGTACCTTGCTGACTGTTTAAGTACATTTGAGGCATTACGGCAGTTTGATTTACAACGGAATTTGTCGAGAGAAGACCATTTTCTAAATGAGAATATTTATAAAAAATTTTAAACATTCTTAATTTGTCAAACTTTAAATTAAATTTATATTATCGGAAAAGAATTTTTATTCTTTTAAAATCATCTAATCAGCTCCATTTTTTAAAAATGAGACATTCATTTTAAACTACACAACAGTGGCCAAACTATGGTTTACGATCCACATGTGGTTCATCTAGGCCCTTATTGTGGCTCCTGCATACTTGTACAATTGTTTTTTATAAATTTGGTACATACTACTTACACATATGTAATATTTTTGTAAGTTTTCTGGCTATTAAGTAGCGTAATATACACAGGGATCATAAGTGTAACTCGCGACTTAACCTTGAACAGGTAAGCTTAAAGTACATTAATAATGTCAAAGGATTTAAATGATTGTTTACCCAGTCAGTCAAAGTATCAGTAAGGTAAAGTAGCAGTAATATTTACTGTAGAACAATGGTAACTATAGTATTTTAACTACATATATCATATAAGTAGATGATGCAGCTCTACTCTAGACGTTCCAATAGAGGATTAGACTCGTGTATTTCTGACAGACAGCGTATGGTTACTATCGTGACAAGGTTTGGCCACCCCTTGCTACATAAAATAATTAAGAAATTACTCAAAAGAATATTTTTACATTGATTTTATAAATCCTTTTTCTACAGATAATGCTTGTATTATAATTGAATTGGGATAAAATTAACTGTGAATGTATAATTTTCAAACATTTTATTATTAATTCTAGGAGAACGTCTCATTGTCGAGCAGCTAAGCAAGTAAACCAATGACATAGATCGTTTTATACAAAACAACCTACATCATTGACTTGCTTACTCGGCCACTCAACAAGGGAACACGTCCCAGGTTAAATAGACAAAAGCAGTACTTTTTTATTTAGAAAAATAATCTTAAATCTACCTAAAATATTGTAATAAGTATCAAAAAACAATTTAATTTAGTATTTTAAAAAGATCCTTCCGAATAAATGTTAAGAGTATTTGAAAATTAAATATTTGCACGATAAATATGTGTGAATATAGTCAATGTGTGCTGTCTATTGTATATTCTTACCCGTAGAAGGGGGTTCTCCTGCCTGTTTGGCTAATTTCCGAAGAGCTGCAGCAAAACTTGATGTCTGATGAGAATTGAGCATAGGATTATTGTACGGAGACATCACGGCGCTTGGCTGATGGGCAACTTGAAGCGGTGATATCGGAGCCATCGTCCGAGTGGAAGGTTTGTGAGAGTTGAACGACTGCATTGCTAGGGATGTTGACGGAGGTAATAATGATTTACATCCATGGGGGAATCCTGCAAAATAAAAACAAATTCTTTTAATACCCACGCATAATTTAATATTAAAAATTCTTTTGGAATATCTAGTGATAAAATTAATAAAATATTTGTATTTTAACATGAAAACAGCACTTGTAACAAACGACGTATGTTATCTCGTTCATAATTTTATTTTTACTTTGTATAAACATTATAAATTATGACTCTAAGTTTTATAAATCTAAATACAGAGGCCCTCGATTAATGGATTTCAGATTTAACAGACAATCTTTGTCCTAAAAGAAATATTTATTATAACCTTTTTTTTAATTTGCATATAGAACAAACTAAAAGATGAGTCAATGCATGTAAATTACTCAATGTATATATTTTATTCATATTTATACATTATAACAGCATTTTAATATATTCTGCAAATTGTAAATTTGTTATTAACAGCCTTTCGGTAACAGCAAATGCCAGTTCTCCTTAATTACTTTGTTAAATCAAGGTCCAGTAGTGCCGCAGACAAAAAGGGGGCACAAGCTATAAAAAAAAGAGCATGCAAGGAGCTTCAAACTCTACGATTCGATGTCAGATCGGCTTCCACTAAGTGGTTGTACTCGGGGCTAACTTGACCTCGAAAGCAAAGAATGGAGTTTTGATCAACATATGACGAAGTTGCATAGGTTGGTGGACAAATATCATTCACTATTTTCTTTTATATTTGCAGAATAGGCTAGATGTCACAAATTTTCTGTTATTTGGGACACCCTTAAGAATTAGGAAAAAGATAACCAAGACAAAAAGGAAGCATGTACCCTAATATATGGGCATCACTGCCCTATTGCATATGTATATGATAATTACAAAAACAAAACTGGATTTAGAAAAATCATTAGTTTTGCAAGTGAATATGCCAGGTATCCATTTTAAAACTCACCAACAGTACAGAATGCTTCCCTCGAGTGTCTCTAGTTTTAAACTATTCTGTAAAATCCATTTGTTCGGATATGTTGGTTCATACTCCAAGTTTCACACATGTACCCTTGAAAGGGCCACTGCTGCCACACAGTGTCAATTTGAAGCTCTGATGCTACGTGATCTGGATTGCTGGGGCCCGATTTCTTGGTCTGCCCAATCACACGATATTGTATCTTTGAACTTTTTCTTTTTGGATATATCAAGGATTGTGTGTATGCTACAAATGTGCCAGATGTAAGTGTTCTGCATACAAGAACCTTGAATGTCATTAAAAACATAACTCCTAATATGCTAATTATATTAGAATGCAGCATGCATCCTAATGGAGTTCCACATTGGGAGCTTATTCCCTAGTCATGTGAAAATGTCGTAACTAACTTTTTCAGATGCACTTTCTATTACCATAATCTACAATACTACACATGTATTTCTTGCCTTGAAATTAATCCACACAACTAGGGACATCAAGGAAACAACCTATATATTACCAAATTAAAAAATTTTAGCTTAATAATCCATTACCATAGATACATACAGTCTTATCATATATGTTAAATGTAACAAATTTTAACATTTAGTACACATTTAACAATACATTTCATTCCAAATTTGAACAAATCAATGAATATTATATTTGAAAATAAATACTGTAAAGTCTATTAAACTAATTACAGTCAGACAAAAACTCGATTGCCATTTTTTTTTATTTTTATTTAGTTTCTTAAACACAATTATAACTGCCTGACACAATCAATTGCCTCGGGGTCTAAATAATTACAAGGAACGCTCGACGCCGGAAATGCAGACCCATTCCGCCCGAGGCCAAGAAGTACTCATTCCGCCACGTCTAAAATACTTTTCGGCCAACGGCCGGCATGGGGTAAACAATATCCGACGACACCATCGAGCCGGTCGCCAAAAAATCAATGCAGCCAGATTTACCCCGAAAACTGCCGAGAAAGAAGTGTTACGGAATGAATAACAATTGCCAATTTATCAAGACAATGGCATATTTGTAAGCATCTCGCCGGGTCGAAGGAGACGCCCGGCTAAACAGAAAACAAATTCGGGATCCTCGATGCCTCGGCCCCTCTCCTCTCGGCACGGACGCAAAACCTCGGCGAGGGGTCCATCAGTCGGAGGAGGAATTCTCGTTATGTTCTTCCTATTAATTTTTCAGGGGCGGAAATACATCTCGATTGCCGGAAAGGCAAGTCAAGTCGCCCACCGTCCCGGAGTGGCTTTCTCTGTTTAGAGAGAGATGGGAAGAGAAGCAGCTGTTTATTGAATGCTGAAGGGAGAAAACCAATAACAGAGATTGGTAAAGGAGGAAAAAATAAAATGGCGGAGGGACAGCGCCCCCCCCGGCAGTCATCGTCAACTACTTGACCATCGGCGACAGGAAACATTTGCCGTGCCCTCCACGCTCCGTTGCTTCAGATAACTCTTACGATACTCCTCCTTATTTGTCGAATAATTCGTCTTCCTCTTTCCAATTCCAGCTTTTCGAATCGCTCGTTACCTGTTTCATTTTATTTTATTTTATTTGTTTTTGCTAACCGAGATTCGATCGTCTGTAAATTTCTGTCGTCTGCCTCGACTAGGGTCACGTGACGCTCCGTTATCGTCTGGTTTCCACATTTTTATTCAGAGGCGAATGGAGGTTTTATTTTTATAATACTTTTTCGTTGTTGGAGAATATAAGTATTTCTTTATATATAAATTAATTTCACAGTTGAGATTTAATTTTTCTAAGAGTTTTCTCGTCTGTCTCCATAAGGTCACGTGATATTCGGTCACATTGTTTTGGTTCATTTATTTATTATTTACTTTTTAATTTTTGGAAAAGCGCAAAAAATTTGAAAATTAGTGCAACGCTTTCTTATTTTTCGAGAAGATAAATATTTTAAAAATAAATTTAGTTTACAACATTTATTTTCCTTAATGTTTTTTCTGACTAGATGGAGTCACATGACATTCTACTTTAGTTTGGTTTTCCGGTTTTTTAAATTTTTAATTATTATTTTATGTAAAAAATTACCTTTGTAACACTTTTCGTTATTAAATAAATTTACTTTTTTAAATATTTATTTATGTTTTTTTAGATTTTCTTGTTAATTTTGCCGTAATATTTTGTTATCGTTTGCTTTTCACTTTGATTATTATTATTTTACATTTTTTGAACGAGGCGTAAAATATTATTTTTTAATAATTTTTCACTGCAGCAAAAGCTAAAGTATTATTTTTTTAAAAAAGAATAACTTTATCTCATAATAGAAATTTATTTGTCCGAGAATTTTGTCGTGTAACTCGGAAGAGTCACGTGATATCCGATTATTGTTTTGACTTTTTAATCTTTTGTTTTGGGTATAGCGTAACGGCTTTATTTTATAAAGATTTTTCAGTGTCACAAAATTAAAAAACTTTTTAAATAAATTTCTTTTTTTCGTTGACATTTGAATGTTGATTTTGTCACCTCGGCAGGGTCACGTAATAAAATTAAAGCAGAAAGCACGCGATAAACGACTACTTTAATTTCAGAACAAAGCTAAAGATTAATAATAAATAACTGTTATGAAGTAAAGAGTCGAAATAATTTTTGAATAAATTCATTTTTTTAAGTCAAGATTCATCACGTGCAGTTTTAGTCCCACTATACGGATCACGTGACGTTTGATTCGTCTCGATTGGTCACGTGACGTATCGTCTGATTTTTAACCGTCTTTTATTGCAAATTATTTTTTCGGGCGAAGTCTAAAGAAATTGTTTAATAATAAAACTCTTTCATTGTTACAGAGTCGAATTATTTTATAAGAAAAATAAACAAATTATAGAGGTCGTCGTTTAATTACAGGAAACCGCGATTTTTCTATCGTCTGCTTTGCTCTTCGGTCACGTGAATTGATAAATTTGTGGAAAAATTCCCCACTCCAAACGATTTATTTTTCCATGGCATCGTCGATAAATAATTTTTAAATTATAAATATCGATTACTTTTACGTAATGTAATATTTCTCCTAATCACACGATGCGAGCATTAATTCTCGGGTCACGTGACTGGGGTGAATTATGTGTACAAACATCATAATTTTTCGTAAAAGTTCCGAGATTTGCATACGATTCTTTTAAAAGGAAATATTTTAAATTAAATTTTTATCGATCTCCAAACAAAACAGATATTATTTGCCTGACGTGACTATTCGCTAGGGATATATTTGCTTTACGAGTCGACTGATCTAACAAAAACCGGAAAAGTGCAATAAAACCTTTTCCCTCCCCTCCTCTAATTTTATCTTTTAAAAAATATCAATGATATTTTAATACACATTAATATCAAAATATTCAAAGCATTACATTGTAAATTCCTGTTAATTTTTAACTAAAATATCCCTAAATTCCGCTAAAATCCCTAAATTTTTAACTAAACTATGCCTATAAAAATTATTTAAATCTGTAATTTTCCTACACACAGATACAATTTTTTTTATGCTAAATATTAAACCTGAAATTTCCCTAATAATTTCTATTAGTGAGACAAGTAAATATGAAATTTCCCCGAATATTTTTTAATCGTGCAATTTCTTAAAATTTAAATTTTTATTTTAATATAAAAATAATCTTTAAATTATATAATAAAACAGTCATTGATTATAAAAATAAAGTGAATTTCTTATTTTTCACGAATTATCAGGAAAACAGGGAAATTTCCTTAGCCATTTTATTTTATTTATTTTTTCCTAATTCCACAAAAATCAACAGAATTTTCCGGTTAAATTCAAAATTTTCAAATTATTACATTTTAAATAGCATTATTCCTTATAATATTATTAAGTTCTTGTTTTGAAAATAAATAAATAAATTTGAAATTTCCCTACTTGCAAAAAAATTAAAACTAAAATTTCCCTAAATATATATATATATTTTTAATATCCATCTTTAACTTAAAATTTAATATATTAATTTCATCATTAAAATAAATTAAATTATTAAAAAAAATCAGCATATCATTAACATAAATCTCAATTTATTTGTAGTAATAATTCTCGAATTAT